TAGCAATGACAATTTACCAGGTTGGGTTAATAAAAATAATGCTTTAGCACTTCCAAAAGCCAGCCATCTTAATGGGATACTTTCAGTTTACACACACACACACACACACACACACACAGACACATGCACACGCACATAGACACGTGTGTGTGTGTGTGTGTGTATGTGTGTAAACTGAAAAGTTTTTTTGTTGTTTTTTTTAACAAAAAGCAAATTGCCACCTACATTTTAGCCAAGAACACAAGAACAAATATTCCTGATCACAGTCAGAGAGTCTCCAAGCAAAAGCCCTTTTTAAGAAATGAGGTTTGTTTGCCTGTGTTTTTTAAAGTTCATGAATCCTAACTAATTTGCTATTCATCATCCAGGAATTTATGCAAAACCCTCATATTCAATGAGTGGGAGATGGCTTAGTGCTTTCTGTGTTGTCAGTTGCTCGCTTGCTCCAGCTGCTATTTCGGCGGGGCCTGTCCACCTGTGCCCTTCCCTTTAGTTACTAACGTTTAGTATCATACCTTCGGTGGCCGAGGTGTTTGTGTGGGCTCTGTTCCTGCATTTGGACTATTTTACTAGCAGGCTGCTGCCTGGGACTCACTAACTGTTCCCTTCTGCTTTGTCACCATCATTTCTACCTGTTGCTTTGTTCACAGTCTCTAACTCTTAAATTCCCATTGAGGCTTCCTCTAATGCTAAGGATCAAATCAGACACCAGCTTTTGTGTTAAAAACAAAACCCTTCACTGGAGGGTTGGATCCCTGCTACTCAGCGTGCTGCCCGTGGGCTGAAAATTGGCAGCATGACCATCACCTGGGAATTCAGAACTATCAGCCGTGCCTCAGGTGAACTGTGTCAAAGCCTGCATTTTAACAAGAGCCAGGTGATTCAATGCACATTCCACAGAGAAGCACTTCCTGGAGATCCTCACTGCTGGGGTTGCAGCCAACAGAGAGGTCTCCCTGAGAAGTTTCTCTGCTGGGCTCTGAACTGGGTGCTTTGAACACACCATCAACAGTGTCTGACTTGAGCTTCCCAACACGCCAGAGTGGTATGTACTTAGTGTTGTGTATATTCTCCAGAGGAGAAACTGAGGCGCTGGGAGACTGAGGCGTTGCTGAGATTATTCAGATAGTAAGTGGTGGGCAGCCTGGATTCGGTCTGAGACGTATTGTTTTCAGTCTTTGTTCCCTACCTCGGGCTCGGAGGCGTCCCTCCTCCTGGCATCTCTGTGCTCCCGGTCACTTCACTGTACTCACTGGCTTGTTTCCGTCTCTGAAGCTTCTCTAAGCAAAGCCTTGTGAACGGAGCATGGCTGTTTGGTTTGTTCCAGCGAAGAGCTTTGGGTCTTGGGATTATTTTTCAGTAAGATGGTGTGTGTATATAGCTGGAAATCTATAATTGGGTTTCTCTCGGCCTGAGAATGAGCTCTCTCTCCTGCTTCCAATTAGAGAAAACTGCTTAGAGCTGCAGCTGTCCTCCCAGACCTGAACTCCTCTGGCTCAGTGGAGAGTCAGGAGTATCTCAAACTTGACCTTTGGAAAAATACTTATGTTTACAGCTCTAACCTGAACAAATGGAATGAGTAATAAGACCTTGCAATGACTTTTGGTCCAGAGTTTAAGTCTGGAATATCTATGGCCTGTGTCCTCGGAGCCAAGGGTAAACTCTAGGAAGGTTGTACGTTGAGATCTGGCAGAGACCAAGGTCAGTGGTTTCCAAACTGATTACTGACCTGCTCTGAGGAGCTATTCCAGAGGAGAACCGGGGGGCTGGAGGAGGACTGGGGGGCCGGAGGTGGCCTGAGCTGGAGTAGGGGTTTCCTGGGGCCCTCCTCACTTTTAACCAGTTAGTACTGGTTAAAAATGAGGAGTATAATAAGGCTTCCCAGTCTTATTATTTTATCTAATGGGCCCTTGTACCATTTTACTTAAGGGGCTTTTCCCTGCTTTAAAACGTTCTGTATACTAAAAAGCAACCAGTGTTACAGAAAAACGGAGAAGAACCAAGCAACCTTAGAGAGACTGAGTTACATTTATTGTTATTATTACATTATTACATTTATTGTTATTATTACATGCGGGTCCAGAGAAAAATGTCTCTCCAATTCTGGGCCCCAACATGGAGGAACTTTCCCTATTTATGTTTTTATCTTGTCTCCCAAATATGGGATGTTCCCAGCCCCCTTTGCAAGTTCTTATAGAGCCTCTATGTGCTGGGGGCTTGAGACCTCCACCAAAGGCCTGGCCTGGTGCTAGCACTGATAACTTCGTTCCAGGAAGGTTTAATGGCCTCTCTGAAGTGGGAGTAGTCTTATTTTCCTAATTACTTAAGCAAGCAAGCATTTACAGAAGCCAAATAGCAGGGTCAAAGTTTCAAACAGCAGTTTTTATATAAGATGAATGCTCCACTAGTGCTACTCTGTCCTTTGCAGCTGAGGCCGCTGCAGTTCCGAAGGATGAATTGACTTCTCAAGGTCACACCTTGTTTGGGCTAAAAACGATCTCTTGTTTTCCTCCTCTGAAAGCTCAGTCTGCTGTCTGCGTCAGCCCTGAGCACGTCAGTGGCGCTGACCTGGCCGTCCTTCCTTTGCATTTGGGACTCTGGTGTGTGTTTGGAAACAAAATGCTGCTCAGGTGTTCAGAGCAGAGCCAAGTGAAGAAGTTATATATTCTCTGTCTTCTTTCTCTCCCCGTGCAACGAGTCTGTAGTGCCCCCTCTCTCCTGATCTGTTTATGCATCAAAGGCAGCCTTGCAGAGAACACAGAATACCCTGGTAAAGGCAAAATAGAGCAGCTCTTCTCTGACCCACAGGTTAAGTTACTGGAAACCCCACTTTAGAAGAATGTGCATTTGAGGAACTTATAACCAAAAAAGCAGGATGGCATTGGGAGACAGCAATCACACTTCCCCCTCCCCCCCCAAAAAAAAAGAGAACTGAGAGATTGTAAAAAGCACATCTAAAGATAGTACTTGGAACACTAGAGCAGTTTGCTGTCATCACTGAGGGTCTTTTCAATTATTTACTAGGATTAAGATATTGAACTTGGCCTCAGGTAAATCTAGGGTAGGGAAATGGTTGTCACTGAGTACTTATAATGTCAATAGTACTTGAAAAACCATGAAATGACACGAGAGAGGAGGTTGACCCTTGTCGGAGTTTGGCAAAACGATCTTGTAAAGCTTCAGTGCAGGACAGATAACAGGTGTACCTGGAAGCTGGCAGGTTAAAGTAATTTGTATGCTGAGAGGGCTCTTTACAGGGTTTGCCTGAAGGTCAAGCCCATTGGATGCACATTTATAAAATGGAACTGGCAGAAATTAGTCCTCAGATTAAATGATAGAGGAGTTTTTCACTTAGTTATTGGTTCACGGTAACTTGTCCTTGCTTTGCCAATCCAGTAATAATATTATCTTGGCAGACAAAGGAAACTACACACTTCCTTATTTCATTCACTTTGAACTCTCTGATTTCTCCTGTTTAGGGTGGATCTATTGCCATTCTCTCTCATTTGAATTCACTTAGAAGTTAAAGTTCATCCCGAGAGATGAACGTGTAGCTTGCAGTACGTGCTCATCCCTGACTAGTAACTTTCTCCAAGGTAATACCATGCATTGCTCAGGTTGAGGCTGAATTCTTGAACTTTCTGTGACTGGTTGAGACGAATCCAGATACACCTCTGGAGCTGAGAGCAGTGTCAGCTTCCCCTGCGTCATAGGGTTCTGTGGGGGAGGTAGAGATGCTGGAATAAAATCAGGAACCTCTTAGAGAAAGAAATGCATACTTGGTAGGCAGCCAAGAGCGTCAAGTATAGTTATATTCTTTCAATTTCCAAGGTCGTCTTTTTAGTTTATTTTATTCCTTAAGTATATCATATATTCTTTCTTGGCCCTTTTCAAGGCCTCAAGCACAACATAGGTCCTTCAAAAAGTCACTCTCCCAAATTATTATACACTTTGGCTCCCTCCCTCTCTCCCACCGGAAAAGAGCTCCTTGAACCCAGGGGTCATGCTTGACTCATCGGAATCTTCTCGCACCCAGCACAGGCTCCAGGCCCTCATAGGTACAGAATGAGTATGTGCAGAACAAATACAGACAACTTCTTCTCTGAATTGCCCCAGGATTCAAAAACCTCAGAACTTGTATAAAACACAACAGAAAACCCAGACCTACAAGGGTGTTGACATAGTTGCCCCTGTGGTTGGGTTGCCCCTTTTCCTCCCCATTGGTGTTTTCCTTTGATTTTATAAAGTCTATGACTACTATAAATAGCAGGTTTTATTTCTTAGCTCATCAGAAATAAACTATAATTTAAAGTTGTTCACCATTTTTTGAATAGATTGCTTATTCCTGTTTTAACCCTTTTAAGTCTTTTTATTTCCTGCCTACTTCAGGATAAGAGGGGAAATGGGACTGTATATTAACAGATTCTGTGTATATTTACTGCCCTTTTTTTTTTTTTTTTTTGCACCATCATTGTAGTGGGTTAACCTTCTTTGTCCCATTTTAAAGGTAAACTATTTTAATAGGGATTGCATTGAATATATAGATTGCTTTGAGTAGTAGGGACATTTTAATTATGCTAATTCTTCCAATCTGTGAACACTGTATGGTCTTCCATCTGTTTATACCTTCCTCTATTTCCTTTTTAATTAACTGGATCTTTATTGTTGAAAGTATTACAGCTATCCTCCTTTTCCCCCAATTGACCCCCTTCAATGGCCCCTATTTCTTTTTCAAAGTCCTGTCTTCCCTGATATTTCTGTCTTGGGTGTTACTTAGTTAATTTGATGAAGAGCTAACTTTTTCTATGATTGTGTGGACAAATTGGGTTGATAGATGTTCAACAACTATGTCCATTGATGGTGGTAATGCCATAATGACATAATGAGAGGGCAGGCAACACCATGGCCACTAAGACCTGAGAGTTTTAGAGAGAGGTTTCAAAGTTTGTCCCTTGTGGCATGTTTAATGAACTCACAGTCTTCTAACTTTTGTTTTTCAGGCTTATGTAGAGAAATACATTGTGAAGAATTATTTCTACTACTACCTATTCAGATTTTCAGCTGCTTTGGGTCAAGAAGTGTTCTACATCACATTTCTTCCATTCACTCACTGGAATATTGATTCTTTTTTATCCAGAAGACTGGTCATCATATGGGTTGTAAGTATTACTATTACTTACAGATTGCTACTACTTCTGCAACAATTACCTGCCTTGGCATCAAAGTACTTTGCATATATGTCCTTTTATTTTATTTTTTTTTAAGAGCTGAAAGTTTGCCTGGCTTACTTGGGAAAATAATAGGAAAAATTAAAGTGCTATAAACATAACTTGTTTTGTTTGCAAAAAGAAAAATACCTGTAGATTTTGCGTAATGGAGTGTCCACTTTCCTGTGGGTAACTAAAACTAGACAAGGAGATGTGTAGGGAAGACAGGACTTTTTGAGAACCCAAAAGGGTCATAAAATTCATTCTTCTAAGAGGTCCATTTTAGTAAAATTGGATAAAAAATAGAACATGGAAGTTGTTGACTACTAACTCCAAGTGGTATTAAGCAATACTCTATAAATAGCAGAGAGACAAAGGCATATAAGGCAGGGCACCTTCCTGAGGGACTTCTCGTGTAGTGGGGGCAGCTGACATAGACACAGAAACTCAGTGACAATTTCAGCTAGAGTGATGGAGCCCCTTTCTGATGTTTTACTCGGGACCCTATTGTTTAACTTTTTTTTTTTTTAGGACCAAATAAGTTCTATTTTTATTATTACTGTTATTGGGAAAGATGATGAATATTTGCAAGGCAGCAAGGCCTGCTGCCAGGTACGGGCTTTGGGATCAGAAAGGCCTGGATTCAAGGGCAGCTCAACCACTGCACTTGTCTGGGTGCCCTTGTCTGCAACCTATCTCATCAACATAATGGTGTTGCTACTGCACATCTCCCAGAAGCCTTATGAAAACGTCCAGAGTATGCACAGAGCTCAGGGCCTGATACTTGAGAACATGATAACTCAGGGACAAGGATGCCAGCATGGCTGGTTTCCTAACTCAGGATTCCAAAAACTAAGGTTCAGGAGTGGGTGGGTGGGTGTGAAGGAATTGGAGTTCTCATGCAGCTACTTTGCTCTGAGAAGCACTGTGATCTTAAGTCATTTTTTTAAATATATATTTTATTGATTTTTTACAGAGAGGAAGAGAGAGGAATAGAGAGTTAGAAACATGGTGGGAGAGAAGCATCGACCAGCTGCCTCCTGCACACCCCCCACTGGGGATGTGCCCGCAACCAAAGGTACATGCCCTTGACTAGAATCGAACCTGGGACCTTTCAGTGCACAGGCCGGCGCTCTATCCACTGAGCCAAACCCATTTCAGCTTAAGTCATTTTTTTTTTTTTTCATTTCTAGAACAAGTTAGGGTGATCTTGATCAGGAGCCATAATCTTAAAATATCCTCAAAGGCAGGAGAAAGAAGTAAAACAGTGAAGTCCTGGGTTGGGAGAGATGCCCAGGATGGGAGGGATCAGTGAGTCCCCTGCGGCCCCAGAGAGCAGCCATCCTCTGTGCCTGCAGTCACTGCCACAAGGGAAAACGGGTTGGAGTTGCCAGATCTGTTTTTCATGTGCAGTCGCCCACGTTTTAAGTGTAGGCTTACATTTCTTTAAAAGCATCACATGCCAACGGAACACAGAATACTTGCAGTCTAATCGTATGAGGCCTGGGTTGGGTTGAAGCCTCCAGCCTAAAGGACCACTAAGGTGCTAGGTTTGCCATTAGGATTATTTGGCCTCGGATGCTCCCTGTTTTCTCCTTTTCTGGCTAAAACTGCAAGGCAGGCTTTCCTCTCCCAGTCTCCTGGCCAGCCCTTCTGTGAAATCCAGCTTCTGGCTAGAAGGATGATCCTCTTAGAATAGGCATCTTGCACAAGGTGAAGGGCAGGGCAGTTGTCCCCTTCCTGTCTGAGTCCAGCTTCTGTACCTGCAGAGCAGTGGCGGCCATCAGAGGACTTGGGAGTGGGGAGCATTCCTTCTGTTCTGAAGATCTGAAAATGCTAGAAAGACCAGGTGCTTCAGTTTCTTGCAGTCATTTATTTTCGGAGGTACCCTCCCTCCAACTTTTATGGAGGTAGAGTGGGGCAAATTATGTTAATTATTGTAATAGCCTGGGGATATCTTACAATGCACAAGGTCAGCTCAAGGCCAGTTTCTCCTTCAATGAGGGTGGGAACCTTTCCCGAGGGGACGGGAGGCAGTGGTCACAGGCCTCTCCGATTGTCACCATCGGTTGTTATTTTCCGCTCTGGAGTCCTCGTTTCAAAGTGTGCAGAGGATTTCCTGTTTGGGGTAGAATTACCAGCCTTTTTTGAGATGGTGAGCAAATAAAATCTTTGCCTGCAAAAGGAGAGCACCTAACCTTTGAGTATGTGGTTCGTCCTGAGCTTTGGCTACTTGTGACTTGCTTTTAAAAATGTGTGCATGGCCAGGTCCACCAGGCACCCATTGAATTACATGTTCTGTGTGCTCATTTGCATCTGGGAGGCAGCGTGTGTAATTCTGGCAGTTCCTGGGGGAGAGAATGGGGGCCATGGGGGTGCTGGGGTGCGGGGGAGAAGGCAGAGATAAATAGATGTGGAGAGAGGGAAGGGGAGGGAGGGAAACTAGCAGCTAGGAAGGGAGGGTCCTCTGCACTGCAGAGATAATGAAGAGAAATGCTTGGCTTGGCCGGTGCGCTGAATGGTGAACAAAGGGAAGGGAAATTCCTGGGGTGCTGGGGCTGGAGGGGAAGGAGAGGTGGAGCGGGGTGAGGCTCTTGTCGGCTTCCTATAGACAGGCAGCCTCTCTCCTGGAAGGGTTATCCCTGAATGAGTGGCTGCCTCCTCCAGGGCTGAGGATTAAGAAATGTTAATTACATAAGGGGCAGAGTTTGAAGTCTTGTAACTTGAAACATCTAATCTCACCCAACAGTCTTTGGAAGGCAGCTGCATTCAGGAGCGCCAAACCTCTTGTCAAATTTTATATTAATTTTACAGTTGTCATTGGATGAAGTCCCAACACGTTTTATTGCTTTTAAAAGTCATTTGTTCTACTCGTGGTGACATTCGGTCTAAAATAGTTGAGCAGAATTTATGATTTGCTAACTGCTTTCTCATCACAATCCTGATTATTTCTCCCCTATGTAGTACAGTTTTTATTGGCATCTGTGTCCATTTTCTTTTGTTGTTGTTGTTGTTACTATATTTAATCTTCGTAACAGTGGGTTAGTATCATTTTCATCATTTTATAGATTAGGACACTAATACTTCAAATAATAATAAGCCATGTGAAATGCTGAGCCCTTAGTATATATGCCCTTCACTGTAATAGTGCTTTTTATATTTTACCTCATTTAATCCTGCCAGCAATCCTGATGAGGGTTATTGCCAGCCCATTTTACAGATCAGAAAACTGACATGTAGAAAGGTTAAAGGTTAAACTTGCCCAGGATTACATTGGATTAAGTAACAAAGTGGCTTTTTGTGCTAGAAAGAGAGAGGTTGTTTCTTAGAAAAACTTCTAAATGACATGAAGAGCATTCACTGTCCATTAAAAAAAAAAAAAAAAACACAAAAAACCCACATACACACAAACAGATGTTCCAGCTAAAGTTTAAATGTTTTGCATAATGTTCTCTTCTATTGTCTGCTGTGGCTGTGGTTCATGTTGGCTGTATGGCATTTATTAGCTCTGTATTATACATAATTGCCTTTTATATACTTTTCTTGGCAGGTCAAAGGTATTTCTCTCAGAAAATTTAGGTGAGCTTTTGTTAAACGAGCTGGAAGACATCAAATCAAGTCATTGTTTCTGTCACCTGTCACTTATCAAGGTTGTTAACCTGTCATTGGTTGGATTTAATAGAATCTTAGACTTTGGGACAGAAAAGTGGGGGAACGGGTTATCTAATTAGATGCTCTTAAGAAGATATTGTTGATAGAGCTTCAGAAGAGCCTCAGTTCAACTGAGTGGTTGCAATCTCTTGACTTCCTTTAGTCCCACCAAAAATTAAAACAGAGGCTTTAAAATAGCATTGCTATATCCCAGAAAGGTTAGAGGCACTTTCGTTGAACCTGCATGGGATTTAGCTTTGTATATAAGGCCAAATTTACTTTCGGCTAAATAACTTTATTCTCCACTTTTTAAAAGAGCAATACAAATATTGATAACACAATTGATCCTCTGGAGGCTCCTTTTCTCTGTCCTTACATTTTACTTGTTCATAGTCTGCCTCTTTTCGTAGACATTTCATGGCATTCAAGATGAGATGTACCAACAGAAAATGGGAACAGTGAATAAAATAAAAATTGGGAGGAATATAGATAGAATAAGAGATTAAGGCTTAGTGTACAGTTAAATGTAACTTGCTGATTCAAAGTTGAGCCAAAAATTTGTCTTTGAACTTTGCCTTGACCAAACCAAAGTGAAATTACATTATCCAGAACACTTGAGGTCTTGCTCCCCGGAATATTAAGTCAGTTTGGCTCAAATAAACTCTTAGAAAAATTCTCAAAAACACGCACAAACATTATCCACGGGGAAGTGATGGGCTTGTTTCTAAGTGAGGAAGCCTTTACCTGCCACATGGGATTGTAAAACCGCTATGGCCAGTGACTCATGGCAAAACCATTTCCTAGAGCGTTGTTTGCTTTCAGTCCCCACATCATCTGTGTGAAAGCTCCCATTTTGAAGCTTCCTCTTGAGCTTTGTGTGTGGTTATTTTCAATCACTGGTAATTTAAACCATGAAAAAAATGGTATCTCGGTTTATTTTGTTTATTTTTAGTGAGGATGAAAACCTTGACTTATTTTTAGCCATTTGTATTAACTCTTGAGAATTGTCCATCTGCCTTTGAGTACTTTGAAAAGAGACTTTAATATTTTAATTGATTTTTTTTTCACCAATGGTACCGAACTATTGATTTTTCTTGTCTGAGGCAATGTGTCTTTATTAGATTTTTAAGAGTATAAGGCTTTGAGAAATGGTATTTGACTTTATGGTATCATCAATAGTGCCCTAAGAAAGTCAGAATTTTAATGCTTTTATTCTGTGCGTTCACTTTAGGCACAGACCTCTTCACTCCCTGTTGTCTTACGCTTTGTGATCTCCCTGTTTGTTTGTTTTTTTAAAGCAT